GCGTGAGCGCGACTTCTGGGTGCCTGGGTGTTGGGAGCGCGGCGCTTGAGTAAATTGCAAGAAAATCCAACGCAAGGGCGCTATTCTATGGTAAATTGCAAGCAAGTCTCCAGCGAAAGCGCGACTCCAGAGCGCCGGGAGAGCGATTCCTGAATAAATTGTAAGGAAGTCCCAAGCGAGAGCGCGATTCCTGAATACAATGCGAGGAAGTCTCGGGCGGGAGCGGGGGTCCTGGCTAAATTGTGAGGAAGTCTCAAGCGGGGCAGGGGGCCAGTTTGAGCAGGAAGACTTTCTTTGACAAAAAACAAGGTGCGAGCCCCGGGCGGGGCACTTCAATTGAAAAAAATAATCAATGTGCACCGGTGAGGGAGGATCAACAATAATTATTCTTCAAGAATGAGAGTTCAACAACAACAACAACAACAACAACAACAACAACAACAACAACAACAACAACAACAACAGCAACAGCAACAGCAACAGCAACAGCAACAACAACAACAACAACCACAGCAATAGCAACAGCAACAGCAACAGCAACAACCACAGCAACGACTACAACAACAACCACAACCACAACAACAACCACAACAACAACAACAACAACAACAACAACAACAACAACAACAACAACAACAACAACAACAACAACAACAACAACAACAACAACAACAATAACAACAACAACGACGATGACGACGACGACGACGACGACGACGACGACTACTACAGCAACAGCAACAGCAACAAGCGGCCCCACAGGAGTGCCGCAGCGCCCACAGGCGGGCACCCTGGATGGGTCCCGCGAGCATCGGCTCCTCGGATCCTCGGATCCGCCCCTCCTCCGATGCGCCGGTGCTCGGGTCGTCCGGCCCTCGCTGCTCGGGTCCTCGGGCCCTCTGGTCCTCGATGCGCCGATCCTCTGATCCTGGGGTCGCATCGATGCGCCGACCCTCGGATCCTCGGGTCCGCCGATCCCCAAAATCCTCGGGCCCCCGATCCGCGGACCCTCGGTCCACCCTTCCTCGACCCGAAGGAGGGAGGGATTTCTTGCGTTGCGCATCTGATTCGCCTGGCGACGGTCAGAGAAAAGCGGCGCTGCAACTAGCAGACTTACATGAGCTGCACGGGCAGCAAGTAAACAAGTACAGTAGAGTAACTCCGCCCCACGGAGTGGGGTCACGGGGGAGGGAGGGAGGGAGGGAGGGAGGGGGACAAGGGAGGAGGGGGATCACAGGGGAGCTGGGGCGATCCCCAGACGACCCCCCGCCGCGACTGCACGGGAGCCGATCCGCCGACCCTCCCACACTGGTGGCGGGGGTCGGCGGCTCCGAAGGGTGTTGTTTGCAAAGACTGTGGTGCGCAACCCGCGACTGGGGGGGGGGCGAGGACCTCGACAGAGGCCTCTGCCGCGCCCTGACAAGGGCTCACCAAAGCCTTGGCGCAACGTGGTGACCGCTGGGCTCCAACTCAAGAAACAAAAAGGTACCGATACCCCTACTCCCCGTACCTCTCCCGGAGTGCGTTGTGCCCAGGACTTCGAGGCGAATCCAGCAGTGGCGACGACGGCCTCCCAGGAGGCCCAAAAAGGGGGAAAACGGGCGAAGGGCAGCAGTATGAGTACTTTGTCCTCCCCTGACCAGCAGCGCCGATCGCAAACCACACCCTGGTATAACAACACCCGTTGTTCAAAACCGGAGAAGGGGGTCCTGAGGGAAACGGGTCCTGAACCCTGGGGCCTTCTCCCAGAACGAGATCTTCCCCCTGAGCCGTTCGCTGTCAGCCCTGGGGCCCGTGGAGGGCCCCGAGAGCCTTAAACCGGTAAAAAATCCTCAGGGCCCGTGTCCCTCAGGACCCGCTTCCCTCCTGGCGAGCAGGGCCCGCCGAGCGGGGGCGTCCAGGAGGGAGCGTCCAAGAGGGGGGGGGGGGGCGCAAACCATGGCCGGCGGCACGTGCGCGGCCCAGGGGGGGACAAGGACGTGTTGAACTCTGGGATGAGTTCGTGGCCCCCGCCATGACTCGGCGGCGAGCGAGGGGGGGAAATGAGAAGGCCTCCTGAGGGCGCGGCGTGCCGCCGGGGCCACACCAGGAGAGCCTCAGGGCAGGAGCTCCGGCGCGAGGGCTTCCGAGATGTCCCGCCGCCTTCTGAGAAGGCCTTCTCCTTCTCATTCCCCCCCTCGCTCGCCGCCGAATGATATCCACCTCCCCCTATAGTGCGAGGCAGGGATTTCTGCATATCCACCGCCCGGGAACCGACGTCCTGGTGCCCCAGCGGGCGGTGAATGTGGAAATACTTTGGTCCCCGAAGGCCCGAACATATACATATACATATATACATATACCTATACGACCACCCTTCGAGTGATAAGGAGGTTCGTGGGGGGGAGGAACCAACGTCTCAATCGATCGGTCTCACTATCGATCTCACTATCGATCTCAGTATCGGTCTCGCTCGATCGATCTCCCTCGATCGATCTCACAATCGATCTCACTCGATCTA